GGAGCAAATTGGATGAGGCTCAGGCATCTAGAATTGATATCTTCGTCGTCCTCGATCACCTCCCCATTGTCTGCATCATTGTGGTGGCCCAGGCTCTGTGCTGACGGCTTGACTCAGTTGGTCTCATTAACTTGCTCCTTGCTTCACTCTGATATTTGCTCAGGTGACCACTGTCACCTCCTCATCCTTTTCTGACTGAAGTAGCCCCCAAGCACTCTTTTTTGGTACACATGCCCAGCTTTCTTTTCCTCCATGGCACTTATTATCACTGATACATCATAGATAAGAGACTATAGATGAAATTTCACCCGTAATATATTATATGTCATTTATGTGTTCTTCTGTTTTTCTTTCGTTTCCCCGCTGAGAACATGAGCCCTCCAAGGACAGGGACTTTGGTCTCTTTTATTCATCGCTGTATCCCAGTGCCTAGAACAGTGCCTGGTGCATGAGAAGCGTTCAGATATTTGTGAAATACTTGGATGAGTGATTGAATGCATTCAGCCCTCATGGCACCCTCCAAGGAAGCCACGATCATTCTCATTTTACAAACTCCAACACTGAGGCTCAGAGAGGTCACGTAACTTGCCCAAGGTCACAGAGCTGGTCAGTGGTGGAACTGGAGTTCTAAGCCAGATCTCTCTGAGTCTCAATACCAGATTCTTTCCATTTCACTCAGGGAGGGCAAGAGCCATAGTGATAATGCCCAGAAGGCTTCTCTGTGGTCTTGGAGTGCAGTGTCTGATTAAGACGACTTAAAGAATAGATTTATGTTCTTAAGCATGTTTTACTTTGACAATGAGTTTGTATTCCCTCAGCAAATACATCAGTCCAGAGCTTGCTGGAGACGGAGAAGCTGATCTGGGCTTGACTCTCTGTCTGGCGCCGGCTCTCAGAGTTATTCAGCCTCTCTGGACATCAGCTTCCTAGAGGTACACAGAGTGATGATGGCATCTGCTGCGTGAACAGCTCTCAGCATAAGTCTACACTCTTTAAATGGAAGGTGGCGCCATATTACCATTCTGTTGAGAATTACAATAAGGGTAGCTAACATTTATGGAGCGCCCACTGTGTGCCAGGTACTGTGTTCAGCACATCACTGTGTTATTGCATTTGATCCTCATAATATTCCTCTGAGGTAGGTCCTATTATTGCCGCATTTCACAGGTGATAAAGCTAAGACTCAGAGAGGTTAGATGAGTGCCCAAGGTCACACAGCCAGTAAGCGGGGGAGCCAGAATAGAGCCAAGTCATCTGATTCCAGAGTTGGCTCTCTTAGTCACTGGGTTAATGTGTATGTGTAAGTATTTGAGAATAGACACCATAGGATGGTGACTTTGATAGAATGTTCTGGCAAAGTCTGGGAAAATGGAGACTCGTCAGAGATGAGCCCTTGCTCCGGCTTCTATTCCCATTTGGCTGACTATCATGGTCCAGGGTCTTCAGTGAATGCAGGTCCCAGCTCTCCATCACATTTGCCTCTGTGCCCTGGTGTTTAGGTGGCCGAGGTTCTAGGTTTGAATTCCAGCTGCCAGTTCCCATCTCTGTTGTGACCTTGGGCACGTTTTCATCTCTGCACATCCATTTCCTTCTCTGCAAAGTGGAGATCAAATGGCCCTTTGCACACAGAGTTACAAAGATTAAGAAAAATGTGAAAGAGTCCCAGTCTAACAAACGAAGAAAGCAGATGACAAGCCATTAAATAAGATCTTACGGCATTTCTTAAAGAAAAAATGCAGAGCAAACCATCTGGCAGCCCCACAGCCAAACGCTAATAGGGATGATGGCTACGCTGTAGAACGACATTGCCTTTCCTTATCTGAATTTTCTAATTTTTCTATAATGGATATGTAATAACAAAATGAGTTGTTTTAATTAAAAATAGGGCACTGAGTCAGTGTTCATGAAAGCACTTTGTCAGCTGTCCAATGCTCTATAAATTAGCTCTCGTTATGGTCGTTATGGTAATTATTATTGTTATTGCTAGTCGGCCATGAGTTGGAATTTATTTCTGCCCCAAATCTCCTTCCTTGGCCCATGACAGGAGGGCCAACTCGGTCGCCTTCTGCCGGGTTCTGCTTTTTCATCCATTGACACCCTGCTGACTTCTCTCCATCTTTGCTGCCACCATCCAAGTGGGAGCCAGCATTGTCTCTTGTCTGGAGCCCTGCTCTCCTTGTCCCAGGGGCAGCCCCAGTGATGTTTGAGAAATGAACTTTAGATCAAAGCCCTCCAGGGCCAGCCCTGTGCTGACTGGTTAAGTTCACACGCTCCACTTTAGGTGCCTGGGTTTCACCGGTTTGGATCCTGGGTGCAGACCTACCACCGCTCATCAAGCCGTGCTTTGGAGACATCGCACACAGAAGAGCTAGAAGGACTTACATCTGGGATATACGACTACGTACAGGGGCATTGGGGGAAAAAACCCTTCAACGGCTTCACTATGAACTTGGTAGGAAACCTACACTGAACCTTGGACCGTGGGCCTGGAGGTCTGTCCCTCACCTGTCCTTTCAGCTTCTTCTTGAGCCACTCACCCCATTGGCACCATATACTGCCTTTGAGAAGGCACCCAGAAAAGGGACCTCGGACAGTGACTGCCCTAATTTAGCTGGTTTTGAAACCTGTACGTGCAGTATGACTTGACCCTTACACTTTTACGTCTGTTAGCACGGAAGAAAGGCTGCACGCTGCGGCTTGGGAGTCTATTCGTGAAGACCAAATTCCAACCAGCATGTGAGTGAGAAACGGTAATGCACCGTTGGACTTTTTATTTTTATTTTTTGACTCAGCTTTGATCAGGGCTGAAAACCTCAACCTGCATTCATGACAGTGGGGATTTTGTCAATGTCTCCATTTTTTTCTAATAAACTGATGTGTGACTTCAAAAAAAAGCCCCTTCCTACCTCTGTGCGTGGTTCTTGAGTCCCCCTCCACTCTCCCCACACCTGCCACACTCTTTCTTTGGCTCTTGGCATGGCGAGCCCCTCCTTGTCCTCAGATGCCAGCTTGAATGTCACTTTCTTAGAGGGCTGACCGCTCTACCTAAGGAAGCCCCCTCCAACTCTTTCATTTGTAATTTTTTCAGTTCAGAGTTTTATTGGGCTCATTTCAGCCTCACATGCAGTTGTGAGAAGTAATACAGAGAGAGCCTGTCCTAGCCTGGGCCACTGGAACAAATCCCACAGGCTGGGCGGCTTAAACGACAGGCATTGATTTCTTACAGTTCTGGAGACTGGAAGTCCAAGATCAAGGTGCCAGCAGATTCGGTTCTTGTTGAGGGCCCTCCTCCTGGCTTGTAGACAGCCCCTTCGGGGCCTCACATGGCCGTCCCTTGGAGCTCTCGTGTCTCTTTATCTGCCTAGAAGGGCACTAGTCCCATTATGGGGGCCCCACACTCATGACCTCACCTCAACCTAATCACTTCCAGATGCCTCCTAATACCGTCAGCTGGGGTTAGGATTTCAACATAGGAATTTTGGGGAGACACAAACATTCAGCCCATAATGATCCCCTGTACAGTTTGCTCAGTTTCTCCCAATGGTAACTTTTTTTTTTTTTTTTTGGATGGGGAAAATTGGCCGTGAGTGAACATCTGTTGCCAATCTTCCTCTTTCTGCCTGAGCTAACATCTGTACCGATCTTCCTTTGTTTTGTATGTGGGTTGCCGCCACAGCATGGCTGACAAATGGTGTAGGTCCACACCTGGGACCTGAGCCTGGGTCACTGAAGCGGAGTGTGCTGAACTTAACCACTAGGCCACTGGGGCTGGCCCACAATTATAACTTTTTGCAGAAGTATGTGTTTTTCCAAATTTTTTTTTTTTGCAGAAAATAAGTTTTTTACAAAAAAGTAAGTTTTTGCAAAACTTATGTGTGTGTGTGTTTAGTTCTGTGCAGTTTTATCACCTGAGTGGGTTCACATGTCCACCCCCACAGTGAAGGCACTGGACGGTTCCAGCACTGTAAACATCTCTTGTGTTGTCCTTTTATAGCCACTCCCAACTCCCTCCTGCATCTGTCCTCCGTCCCTGACCCCTGGCAACCACCCAGCCATCCTCCTTTTCTAATATGTTGTCATTTCAAAAATGGTACGTAAATGGAGTCATACCTTAGCCTCTTGGGATTGGTTTTTTTGCTCAGCATAATTCTCTGCAGCGTCACCTGGTTGTTGCGCGCATCGGAGGTTGGTTCCTTTGGTGCCTGAGTAGCGTTCTGTGGTTGCACGTACCGCTGTTTATGCTCACCGTGGCCAGTACTCTTCTCTGTGCATTTCCCTCCCAGCACTGACAGCCCCCTGAAATCCTTTCATGAGTGAGATTTCTCATCTTTCCTGTCTCTCCTTCGGCAGAGCATAAGTCCAGGGGACCTGGGCCTGGCCTGTGTGTGGTCTCTTGCACGTTTTCCAAGCACAGAGCCCGGCACATTCAGAAAGTGCTTGTTGAATGAAGGCATGACCGAACACACAGTGATGGTCTATCCGGAAGAAATGTGCAGTGGCTGAATAAGCAGTCAGGGAATGACGGGGGGTGAGCTTGGCCTCCACAGAATTCATGTATCTCATATGGGGTTAGGTATTAAAATACTGTGTAAGGGAAAGTTTATCCTTGAGAATCCTGTCAATCACCTTGAAATTGCTGGAACTAGGAACCTTGGGAGCTCAAAAGGCAAGAATTAACTTTGCTTTTGGGGACATTTGGGTTGTGGGCTCCCTGATCCTGGGACAATGTTGAATGGGGGTTATGGTGAGAGGGTCAACAAAGGGATTTCATTCTCTTTTTGAAGTGGCCAAGTGGGTGTGGTTGGATTTATGTAAATGTGTATATGCTGTAACCTGCATACAGTGTAGTGTGTATATGGTGTAATGCGCATACGCCGTAACGTGCATGGTGTGGCATGTGTACAGTGTAATGCGCATATGTCATAATGTATGTATAGTGTAACTTGCCTGGCATTCTCATGGCTTATCCGTTGTCTCTCTGCTTCTTTGTTCCAACTCAGGAGGCAACCTCTCCAAACAAGACTGGACCATCCAGTGGCCCACCACAGAGACGGGGAAGGAGAACAATCCCGTGTGCCCCCCGGAGCCGACCCCGTGGATCCGCACCCACCTCTCCCAGAGCCCCAGGGTCCAGTCCAAGTGTGTCCAGCACTACTGTCACGCCAGCCCCACCCCCGGGGCCCCGGTGTACACGCACGTGGACAGGCTCACTGTGGACGCCTACCCGGGCCTGTGCCCACCACCGCCACTGGAGTCGGGCCACCGTTCCCTGCCCCCGTCGCCCAGGCAAAGGCATGCGGTCCGCACCCCACCGCGCACCCCCAATATCGTCACCACCGTGACCCCGCCAGGCACGCCGCCCATGAGGAGGAAGAACAAGCTGAAGCCTCCGGGGACCCCACCGCCCTCTTCCCGAAAGCTCATCCACTTGATCCCGGGTTTCACGGCCCTGCATCGGAGCAAGTCCCACGAGTTCCAGCTGGGTCACCGCATAGACGAGGCCCACACGCCCAAGTGAGTGTGGTTGGTGGGTGCCCTGGGGCAGCTGAGCCCAGGGCTGCCAGGGGCTGCCTTGATGCCCCGGGAGCCTCCAAGTCAGGGAGCCCTGAATCCACTTGTGTTTCCCGCCTCCAGTTGAATGGAAGGTGGTTTTTCCCTGAGGGCCTGTGAGAAAATGAATAGAATGGAATTTTCCAGAAATGATCCTTTTTTATAGTAACACTCTAAAGTAGGGGTCTGCAAACTCTAGCCTAGGGACAAATCTGAATTTATTGCAACACAGCCACGTTCCTTCCTGTATGTATTGTCTGTGGCTGTTTCCTGCTGTGATGGCCGGGTTGAGTACGGCCCGCAAAACCAAAAATATTTACCCTCTGACCCTTTAAGGGAAAAATTTGCTAGCCCTACAGAGTCAAGCCTACTGCTGTCCCTAGAAATAGGCTGTGAGCTACATATGCAACCTTACGTTTTCTAGCAGCCACATTAAAAGAGTGAAAAGAAACAAGTGATGTTAATTTTCATAATATGTATCATTTAACCCAATATATCAAAATGTTATCATTTCAACCTAGAAGTAATGTAAAGTGTTATTATGGAAATATTTTGCATTCTAAGCGTTCCAAATGCAGTGTACATTTTATACCTACTGCTCATCTCAGTTTGGACTGGCCACGTTCCAAGAGTGGAATGGCTCCATGTGGCCGAGTGGCTATTGTACTGGAGAACGCCACTCTGGACCCACCCTGTGCATGGGACCTGCTCAGTGCTTGGAACGAAGAGGCGTGTCCAGGTCTGCTTGGGGTGGGAGGTGGCTCAGGGAGTGGAGAAATGGACTATCAGAGCAAAGGATGCCATAGAGAAGTTTAGGGGGACGGGGCACAGCCACCCAGGGGAGAAAATCATGAAGGTGGGTGCAGTGTGTGCCTGGCTCTGGTTGGAGGGATCTCACTGCCAGCAGAGGGTGACATAGTGTCTGTGGCCCCAGGCTGGCTATTGAGAGAGGTGGGGTAGCTCTCTGCAGGGCCCCTCAGAGGCTGACTGTGGCCTGGGTTCCTTGCATCCTTTTGAGGTTCTCAGTGTATTAAAAATGGAAGAAAGGCTAAACAGGGTCACAGAAGTGGGTAGCATGTTTTAAATTTTACATTTAACAAAATTGTGTTTAGGCATAGAAGATAAAATGACTATGTATGATCTGATTAGGAGATCCAGTAAAGAGTCTAAATTTGGGGCCCATGTGTGGGAGATGCTTGGACCCCTGTTCTGCAAGCCCTGCAGCTATGATGTGGGGAGCAGAGGGGAGAGTTCCGTTGCATGTTCAGTGTGTGAGGGCCCATCTGAGGGCTGAGGCCGGTCAGAGATCCCTCAGGGCGTCCTGGAGTGAGCCAAAGGCAGGCAGGGTGGCCCAGGCTTCTGTAGGAAACATGAAGTGCAGAGGCCCTGGCAGAACCTGGCCTTCACTGTGGCTTCTTGTGACCTTGCAAAGGCCTCAATAAAGGATGTCCAGAGCCCTGCCCCGAGCTGTGCCTGTTCGCCTTTGACTCGGGCATTTATCCAGGGCTGGCTCAGAGCCAGAGAGCCTGGGGGACTCCTGAGACCTCAAGGTAAGGACGTAGGGGAGGTCCACAGAAAGGCTAGGAACACGAGCTGCTGAGGTGGAAGGTGGGAGAGGCGTCTGGGGTCTGCTGGCTATGGTTTCCCCGTCCTGTGTGTCTCCCTCCTGCCTCCCTGTGCTGACCACACAGTGAGCTGGAACTTGACCAGAAGGCAGAGCCTGGGTCTAGGGACACGTAACCTTTAAACCTACAAGGTGGGGGCAAAGTGAGAGAGGCTGCCCTTGGTTTGTTTTTTCCAGCTTTGTTGAGATGTAATTGACATATAACAGTGTGTAAGTTTAAGGTGTAAATTGTGATGATTTAATACACATAGGTATTGCAAAATGATTACAATAAGGTTGGTTAACATATCCATCACCTCACATAATTACCTTTTTTTTTTTTTGTGGTGAGAGCATTTAAGATTTACTCTCTTAGCAACTTGCAAGTACACAATTCAGTATTGTTGCAGTCACTGTGTTGTACATTAGAGCTCCGAACTTACTCATCTTGTAACTGGAACTTTGTACCCCTTGACCAACGTCTCCCCATTTCCCCCACGCCCCCCCATCCCTGGCAGCCACCATTCTATTCTCTGTTTCTATGGGTTTGAGGTTTTTAGATTCCACATATAAGTGAGCCCATGTAGTACTTATTTTTCTTTGTCTGACGTTTCTCTTAGTATAATGCTCTCAAGGTCCATCCATGCTCTTGCAAATGGCAGGATTTCTTTATTTTTTGTGGCTGAATAATATTCCATTGTATGTATATGCCACATTTTCTTTATCCATTCATCCATTGATGGATATTTAGGTTGCTTCCATGTCTTGACTGTTGTGAATGATGCTACAATGAACATGGGGATGCACACACCTCTTCAACATGGCGATTTCATCTCCTTTGGATACACCCAGAAGAGGAATTGCTGGATCGTGTGGTAGTTCTATTTTTAATTTTTTGAGGAAACTCCGTACTGTTTTCTATAGTGGATTTTCCAGTTACATTCCCACCAACAGTATACAGGTGTTCCATTTTCTCCATATCCTTGCCAACAATTATCTCCTGTCTTTTTGATAATAGCCATTCTAATAGGTATGAGGTGATATTTCACTGTGGTTTTGATTTGCATTTCCCTCATGATTAGAGATATTGAGCATCTTCATATACCTGTTGGCCATTTTCATATCTTCCTTGGAAAAACATCTATTCAATCCCTCTGCCCGTTTTAAAATCAGATTGTTTACTTTTTTGCTATTGAATTATATGAGTTCCTTATATATTTTGAATATGAATTCCTTATCAGGTATATGGTTTGCAAATCTTTTCTCTCATTCTGTAGGTTGTTTTTCATCTTATTGCTTCTTTCTTTTGCTGCGCAGAAGCTTTCTAGTCTGATGTGGTTCCACTTGTTGATTTTGCTTTTATTGCTGGTGCTTTTGCTGTCATAACCAAAAAATTATTGCCAAGACTGATGTCAAAGAACTTTTCCCCTGTGTTTTCTTCTAGGAGTTTTACAGTTTCAGGTCTTACTTTTTTTTGGTAAGATTAGCCCTGAGCTAACTGCTGCCAATTCTCCTCTTTTTTTCTGAGGAAGACTGGCCCTGAGCTAACATCTGTGCCCATCTTCCTCTACTTTATATGTCTACCACAGCATGGCTTGCCAAGCAGTGCCATGTCCGCTCCTGGGATCCTAACCGGAACCCTGGGCCACCAAAGCAGAACGTGCGCACTTAACCCCTGCGCCACCGGGCCAGCCCCTCAGGTCTTACATTTAAGTCTTTAATTCATTTTGAGTTAATTTTTGTGAGTGCTGTAAGATAGGGGTCCAATTTCCTTCTTTTGCATGTGAATATCTAATTTTCCCAAAACCATTTATTGAAGAGACTGTCCTTTCTCCAATGAGTATTCTTGGCTCCCTTGCCAAATATTAGTTGACTGTATACGTGTGGGTTTATTTCTGGGCTCTCAATTCTGTTCCGTTGGTCTATGTGTCTGTTTTTTTTTTTTTTTTTTTTTTTTTACCAGTACCACACTTTAAATGTGAGTCTTTCCCCAAACCCCTGAGGTATTTATTTTGTCTGGATAGGGCTGACTCATCCACTTCCTCAGTCTTCTTAATTGATTCAACCACCTCCATTTTTTTTTTTTGGAAATTGTACACCAGGATCTGGGCCAAATTCAGCTTTGCCTGTTGGGGTTCTTCTGTCCAGTTGAGCAAGCTCAACTCTTCCTCAAGGAAGGTACTTTCCTGGCTCTCCTTAGGGGATGCTGGCAAGATTCATGGCAAGGAAGCAGTGGAGGACAGCCGCCAAGTGGTCACTTCTGTGATGTGGACGATGCAGTGTGACCGCTTGGCCTGGGACCATGCCAGCAGGTCCACAAGGACATTAGAGCATCTGACCTTTGTGTGTTAGAAAAAATCCAAGACAGAGACGATGGTACCCTGGGCTGTGTGGGCAGGGGGAAGAGGGGCAGAGGTGAATTCTAACCAGGGACATTAAGGAAGAGTTTATAGAGAGACATTCGCTGAATTGAGTTCCAGTAACAACAGCCAGCATTTACCTTGGTCTGAGCTCGTCCTGGTTCTGCCAGGAAATAGGCTTGCGACCTTGAATTTAACCTCTCCGAGTCTTAGCTTTCTCATCTGTACAGCAAAGGGGCTGGAGTACATTCATGTTTTTTAATCTGTGGTCATGACCCATTAGTGGACAGCGGTGTCATTTCCATGGACTGTGACCAGCATCAAAAAAGTGCAATAGTCTAGCCTAGACTGGGTTATATTGGAATACGTCGCATGTGGCGAGGCTGGGTATTAGTATTGTTTTGTGAACTTGTGTCAGATGTTTATACTTGTTTTTCTTACTCTGGGGGCTCTTCGCACTCTGGACAGCTTTGATTCCAGAATGAACCCCGTCAGGGAGTAGATGCGGAGGTTTGGGAAGCCAGCCCTTTATCCTGTGGAATGTAGCCAAAGGCACTTCCGGAATTACTCGGCTCATTGGGGTTTCACTTGTCTGTTTCATGTCTGGTTTCTTCTCTCCTTGTCCCCTGTCATCCTGCTCGGCATGGTTCTTTGTGGCCAATTTGTCAGTCTTAAGTCTACCTTTATTTCTTCTTAATGGGATGAAACAGAGGTTCAGAAGTCACAGGTCTTTCTGAACAGATCTGAATCTTTCAAAAGCGTTGGTTCCTGTGAGTTTTCAAGCACCCGCACCCTGGTGGGCCTTGGGTTGAAGGGAGGTTTCTCCTTGGTCTTCTCTGACATACCCACGGTGGTGTTGATCAGACCGTCTGTTTGGGTTTCAGTTCTGTTCCCAAGAGTATCTCATGGGCGTGACAAGAAAACAAGAAAATATTAGCTATAGCGCGCCTCATCTCTATCGGGAGCCTGGCGGTCTAGGTGGGTTGGAATATATCAGAGCA